CTCCCGGGCCTCGAGCCTCGCGAGCAGCGCCTCGTCGTCCAGGGAGGGGTCCTCCTGCTGCCCCCGGCGCTGGCGCTGGGGCTGAGGGGAGGGGTGGGAGCGACGAGCCGGGGCCAGAGGGGGGGCAGGGGCGACGAGCGAGGGAGGGGGGCGGGCCACGAGGGAGGGAGGGAAAGGGGCGGGGCGAAGGGGGGGAAGGAGAGGGAGGGTAGGGGGGGGGGGGGAGGGGGAGGGGGGAGGATAGGGAGGGAGGGGAGGAGGACAGGGGACGGGGGGGCGGGGGGGCAGGGGGGCGAAGGGGCGGCGGAAGGGGGGGGGACGAGGTTTTCCCGCGACCACAGCCTGGCGAGCGACTCACGACGGCGTTGCATGCCTGGACGGTCAGGCCTTAGAAAAACCCTAGCCAAGACAACCCGGCCTCAGACAACGAGTGACCACCGCCGACCCATGCCACCCGCCAATCAGGTCGAAAACACTTGAACCCAACTCGACCAACGTCCGGGGCACACCATGCAAGTACACGTCGGGCCAAGGGGGGGACGAGGAAGTAAGAGGGAAGAGCAGGAGGAGGAGGAGGAGGAGGAGGAGGAGAAGGAGGAGACGAGGAGACGAGGAGACGAGGAGACGAGAAGACAAGGAGGAGACGAGGGAGAGACGAGGAGGAGACGAGGAAGGGGGAATACTGATGCATGTGCCCTTTCAGGGCCTCCTAGGGAGCCGCCGCGGCCACAGCTGGGTTCGCCTCAAAATCTCGGTCAGAGGACCGCACACTGCATGATTTGGCGTGCGGCATGGCTCCTGGACGTGGCACCGCGGCCGAGGAACACCACGGACCACGAAATATGGCTGACCTCTTCAGGGATCTTCTGACCGGGTCAATACAGAACCGGGTCAGTCAGGCCTTGCAGGATCCTGCAGCAAGATCCTGCAGGATCCTGCACCCAAACCCGGGTCAATGCAACCCTGGCCCTGCAAGATCCTGCAAGACCCGGCGTTCTGACTGACCCCCGTTTGCATTGACCCCCGCCCCTTGAGCTCCGACCTCTGACATTCGTAAGCTCTCCGGAGCGTCCCCTCCGAAGAAGCTCCCGATCTCAAAGCTTTGATGGGGGGAGCCCTGCAGCTGGGTCTCCTCCTCCTCCTCCTCCTCCTGCTTCTCCTCATCCTCCTCCTACTCCTCCTCGACCCATGCATTGAAGTCATGCTGCCCTCGGTGCGGTGCCAGGCTGCCGCAGCAGCCCCAGCGCCCCCCCTGTCTCGCAGGCCATCGTGCGAGGCGCCAGATGGTTCTGCGAGGCTCAGGACGGCCAGCACAGACCACTGGCAGCGTAGATTACGCCACGAAAACACATATATATACACAGACACCCTCCAACGAACTTTGTATGTACCTTCAGGGCGGGCAGCGGTGTACAAAGTCGCTGGTTCTCTATGGTTATACACCATCCCCTGAGGCCCAGGAACAATCCATCGGAGGGTGTATGTGTAAATATTTGTGGCGGATAGATGGCCGGGGGCTCTGGGCTGAATCGCGTGCAACCTTGCTGCCCTTGCTGACTCCGACAGGACCATGATCACGCTTCGTGGATGGTTGCACATCGTGACGAACTTGCGGCCCGTATGGGTGGCGTTTGGGAAGGGGGCGCGTCATCCCTGAAGCAGCTGCTGAGGCCAGCCTGGCAAAAGTCGACCATATGGAGGAGAGATTCGTCCAGAAAACTTCCGTCCAGGATCGCATGTGTCCTTAGAAACTCCAGGATTTAGATCCGGTTCGCAACTGCGACTGCGAAACGCCAAACAGATGTTTTCGATCAGACAACATCCAAGAACCGCTCAGCAGCGGGATGAAAAAATCTGGCGGGAAAATTGCTATTACGGCATCTGTATCTTGGGATCGTGTCAGGAGACGGAAAGCAAAGAGAGGAAGGGAGGGATGCAGGGAGGGACTGGTGCCCGTCCAACCCGCGCCATTCAGGCCTCTGGACCGTCGTAGAGTCGTGTTTACAACTCCTGCACCACGAGAGCGCTGCTGGCCAATTAACATTGTCAAAACTAGTGGGCGAGCTAGAAAGGTACCTTCTCGCTGGGGCCGCTGCAGCGCCTAATCGAGCTTCACCGCCTTCCCAGTGATCCATCGGGTCCACAACGCGCCGAATGCTTTCCGTGCGGAAATGTCATGGTGTGTCACCCCATGCTTCGCGCAGACATCGCGGGTGAGCAGGCGGATCGTATCATAGCAGTGGTGCCCAATGCCTGGAAACAGATGGTGTTCAACCTGCGTGGTGAGGCCCATAGCCACATGAAACCAGAAGTCCGAAGTGGATGCGAAATCTACGCTCTCTGCGATCTGCATCTTCGCCCACGAGCCGTAAACGCGAGACTCCGGGAAGACGATGGCGTGCGCGACCTGCGAGCAGGGCACGAAGATGGCGCCGGCGACCAGGTACATGCACGCGTAGCAAAGGCACGACGGGCCGAACCACATGTGCAGCGCGAACCACAGAAAGGCCTCAGGGAGCATGTGGCCCAACCAGTAGTCGGCACGGTGCCCTGCCATCTTGCCGAGGACGACAAGCTCGAAGGAGGTCTTTAAGCCGATCTCCACCATGACTCCGACTGGCAGTCCTGGCAAGACCAATAACTTCAGCCACTTCGGCAGCATGTCCGCGATCCACAGGTATGCCACATCCACATCCGAGTGATCCCCATCCTGGTTGGTGTGGGCGTGGTGGCTGATGACGTGCCGGTAGTGCCAGTTCATAGACGGGCCCGTGGGAAAATAGCCAAGGAAGAGTGCCAGGCGGTTGACCCACTCCTTGCTGCTCACCTGGTAGTGCCCTCCCTCGTGGGCCAGACGAGTGCCCGCTGTGGCCATCAGCACGCCCGACAGGGCGCAAGATAACGGCGTCTTCACGCCGAAAAACAACACCATCATGACGCACCACATCATTGACAGGCAAATCTTCGTCCGCAGGCGCATTTTCGTCTCCTTGCCGTGCCTCGGGAACGCATTGCGCACCCTGGCCTTGATCTCCTCGTAGAAGGGGTCCGGTGGCGGAGGGGCAGGCCCGAAGGACTGCAAAACCCTGCGATGGCGATCCGTCCACGGATGGTACGACTCAAAGAGCGAGGTGCAATCGCGCCCACGGCCGCTCAAAATCATCAGGCGCCCGCCCGGGTGCCTGTCGACGTACTCCGAGAGGTCATACGCATTCCCGTGAATGTACCACAAGTGCGGGTCGCACTGGTCCTCGGGCACCTGGGCCACCTCCTGGAACCCTTTCTCGGCCGTGGAGTCGTCTGTGTCCGAACCCGAGTTGCTGTTGCTATGGTTGTCCTCGTCGGTTGAGGGCGCCGAAAACGCATCGCATGTGGACCCTTGCGCCGTATGCTTGGAGCCCTCCCAAGCCACGTTGGCCATCAGCACGTGGCTGAGAACACGCCGAACACGCAGGGAAGAAGAAGATGGGGAGGGAAAGGGCCTCCAGTAAAAAATTACCAAAGCTGGTCGAGCCGACTCGGTTCCTGACGCGAGACGCCTGACAGGCATGATCATTCGGCGGCCCAACGGGCCAAAGGCGAGCTGAAATCTCCAGTAAGAGGCAGGCAGCTGTGAAATTGCACCAGGTATCGCGCCACCGAGGCCACAGTTCACTCTGGCAACATACGAGGCATCTGCGCCCCGAAGCCAATCCCTGGTAAACAACCACGCGTTGGGCCGCGTTGCGGGCCCGCGGCAACAATCCCCAGCGAAGTACGCCAGATCCACGCTCCCAAAGCCACAATGTCCGGCAAGTTATGCTGGCTTCGCGCTCACGAGGCCTCGACCCCTCGCAAATTGCAGCAAGCCTGCGTCCCCAAAGCCACAGCCTCTTGCAAGAAATGCCACTCGCCTGCGATCCCGAGGCCACGAATTCGATTTTCTAGATTGGGATGTGTTCAAGGGGGGGGTGTTCGTCCCCACCGTCGTTTCCTCAGATTTCGGCTCGGAACTCGACGCGACGAGCCCTCGTAAAAAGCTCGGGGCGCGCGTTCCCGAAGCCTCGAAACCTCGTTCCCTCGCGCGCAGGATGGAAGCGCGCTCCCGAGGCCAGCATCCCTCATTAGATACTACAGACGCGCGCAACCAGCCAGCCAGCAAACAAACCAAATCAATTGCCAATACCAGTCACCCAACCAAAAAAATCAAGCGTGGCCACGCAAGCAGTAATATGAGGAGGAGCAGTGGTAAAGGGCGAAGACTTGTTTCCCGAATTCCCCCACATATGTGTATATAGATTTTATGTGTATATATACATATGACTATATTCACATATCCATATATCGGGCATGCATACAATTGCATATATAGATATACACATACATATAAACAAATATACATATATACATATATACGTGTGTGAAAGTACCACGCCATGGATTACACTACACAGCTTGCACCATGCAGTTTGGATCGCATAAACTGAAAAGCCAACAGTGCGCCACGTAGCTTGCACCAGATAACTTGCACCCAATCCGTCACCGTGCCGTAAGGCACCGAATGGAGTGTCCTTAGGTCCCTTAGAAGGCGTCCGCCGCGTGATGGCATTTCGCCGCCCAGGCCCAGGTCATCCACCCGCCAGGACTGCCCGTCCAACCAAACGCTCAATCCTGAAGAGTTGGCCAAGCTTCCACACCTTCGAATACTGGCCGCTCCTGGGTGCTTTTCGGGCGGCGAGGAGTTCGCTGTCCAGCAAAATGGTTCGCTCCCCAGAAGAAGGGTTCGTTCCCCTGCGGAAGATGAAAGGCTCTGAAAGGTTCGTTCCCGACAAAGAATGTTTCATAGTGCTCCCTTTATGTGGGGAATTTCCGGAGCTCCCAGGAAGCCTTGGAAAAAGGCGCGGGAATTCATGAACGACCTTAAATGAAACCATTAACTTGTTCGCCCACGATAGCCGACATGCTGCAAGGGAACGAACCCAGCAAAAACTGCGATGTTGATGGTATAGCTGTTCCCCAGAAATTCTCAAAAAGCCCGCGGCCCCGCGAAGAATCAGAAAAACGCGTTCAGCAGT